TAGACAAGCGGAACAGTCGTGTCAGGTGTCTGTCACCCCTGGGCCCGGTCAGGCTTCAGCGTTTCAGCTCCACGGTCTTAGGGTATCAGGGTATTGGGGCTTAGGGTTTAGGGTCTAGGGTTTAGGGTTTAGGGTATGGCTTAGGGTTTAGGTGTTTAGGTGTTTAGGGTTTGGGGTGTAGGGTTGAGGGTATTGGGGCTTAGGGTTTAGGGTCGTCCCACATCTTTGCATGCCCGGCGCATTTTGGCTCAATCAGGCTTGCCAGGCCCTTCGCCTCCGTGAGCGGCCAAGGTCATGCTTGCAATGAAGTCAAGTCAACAGTTCTCTATATAGGGTTTAGGGTTTAGGCCAACATCATCCAGTATCTTATGGCCCACAACCCCTATTCTTAGTATGATAGGCCTCTAATCGAGCTTGACCTTTGGCTACTTGGGCGGTGGGGCCTTGGCGGTTGGCGGCCACGGCAGAGCGTGCAGCTCATCCAAGTCTTTAATCTTTCGGCACGGGCCTAAACCCTAAACCCTAAACCCTAAACCCTAAACCCTAAACCCTAAACCCTAAACCCTAGAGAAGGCCCGTGCCTGCGCTCATTGATATCCTGGTACCTTGGATCTCGTGCGTGACCAGCTTAGGGTTTAGGGCTTAGCATTCAAAGTTTGAGACGAAAGCTCACAAAACGAAGCACAGAGCTTCGGCATTTGAAAACACGATATTTCGTGTTACCTTTCGGCAGGATTAGGGTTTAGTTTAGGGTTTAGGGGTCTGGAAGCTCAGAAGGTACCAGGAACTAGGTCCGGACGGATTATCCTTACGTTGCCATGGCGAAGGCTCCTCTTTTGTGGGTTTAGGGTTTAGGGTTTAGGGTTTAGGGCTTGGGTTTCAGGGTTTAGGAGTTGGGGCAGCCATGGGTCATACATAGTTCGACCCCGACATGTTCGGCAAGAATGATCCTGCTTGCAATGCTTGCCACTACTCCGGTTGCCGTCGTTAGTCTTACATAGAGTCATTCTGGGTGTCAGGAGAGGGCTTAACCTGATTAACTGTGCGTTGGGGCAGCGAGCTTAGGATTGTGGGGGGAAGCGCATAAAACAGGTTTCTGGCTCTAGGTTTGCAAGGCAAGGGTAGAGGGGATTTGGAATTGGACCCGCTTGAGCATCTAGCGTTTCTGGTTTTTGTCTGGCGATTTGAAAGGTGGCAGGGAACTCCTGTAGCTCTCATGATGCGTTGTGCAGCGAGTTTGGGCGTATGCAGTGGAAGAATACATCAGTTGAACCGACACGCACTGAGTCAGTACTTCCACAAGTACAAGTCTCCCCTCCACCGACTTGCATCGTCATTTCAGTTGCCATGACCACATGCTGTAGTGCCGCTATGGACTGTTCATTTCTGCTATGTCGCCTCGTTACTGCCACGATCACAACAGCTGCTGCAGCTACGACTTCTGCTGCTGCAGCTTCCACTATCACTATCACTACCGCGACCATAACCACGACACCGACTAGCAACACTAGCACGACCACTTACTACTCCCGCTACTCCTGCTACGCCTACTCCTACGCTTATTCTTCCTCGCCCTCCTACTGCTACTACTACCACCATTACTACTGCCAGTAGCATTACGACTACGTTCACCAATACTTTTACCAGCACCACGACTACCACGACTACTCTTACTAATGGGGTGTTGTGCAAGAGCCTAAACTATTCGCTGGTTACTATTAATGGCTTGTTACGCTCAGACTACTGTTCGCTTATAACTTATTTGTGCATTTGATGGCTTGTCAAACTTTGTTTTGCTTCGGGTTTCAGTCTCAAGTTCTAAACATTCATCACGCTTTTGGACTACCAACCTCAAATGCCCCGAACCTTCAAACCCGGCCAGAAGTTGCACCCCAACCCAATAGACCACAACACACTGCGCTCAACCATGCCACCATGCCGTCGTGAGGAATGGGTTCAGTAACCTGACTGAGGAATGGGTTCATTGACGCAGGAAAGAGGGCGGCTGTGTTTCAGAGGTGTGTGTGTGTGTGTGTGTGTGTTGCAAAGGACGTCATTATCCCCCCGCCCCCCTGCCCCCCCAGAAAGAACTAGAACTCGCACGAAACTTCACGGAGCCCTGCGCGCGTGTCACCAGCTACTGATTGGCATTCATAGTGACATGGCTTAGTTTATGAAACAATCAGATATTGGAGAGAAGAAACAATTAGTGATACTTCGCCGACGACTACTTGCAAATGACTCCGAGCGCAAACGACTACTACGAGACTTGTTCCAGTTTTTTGAGCACATGCAAAGCCTCTGTCCTCGCTGCTTGTGTTCGGATCCCAAGGAAATAAAGGGGGCCTTAATAATTTCAATAGTGGTTGGGGTATTTTCTACTAACTAGAATTTGAGAAAAAATGGAGCCCCCAAAACCCTATTCCCATTATTAAGGCCCCTACATTACCCCCAACCGGGTTCATCCCTGTTGAGGCTTGGAAAGTATTCTGTATTCGTTGTCCCTTTCATCATCTAAGCCCCTAAGCAAATCCTTGAACCCTAATACAAAAAGCCTGAAGGCGTAGTTTGTGTTTGTAAACCTAAGCGACCTTCTCCGACAACAGGCCAGCAAGAAGCACATTGGTGATACGAAGCACTACGAGTTTACCCGACTGTGCCTGTGCTGCGATCATAGGTTCGATCGTCAAACCCCTAATTCCTAAACCCTAAACCGAGCCTTCCAAGTGAAAGATCCTGGAGTTCAGCCTAAACCCTAAACCATAGACTTCTGGAGGCCTAAATCTTGAGGGCCTCCAGGGTTTGGAACGGCTCAGAGCTTTCGTGCTTGCAGTTTGGTCTCCAGGCTGAGTGTTGAAATTCATGCTGTATGTAGTTGTTGGGATATGAACTATCATGTTTTTGTTTTGTGTTTGATGATGATGATGTAGTTAGTTAGTTAGTTAGTTAGCTAGTTAGTTAGTTAGCTAGTTAGTTAGTTAGTTAGTTAGTTAGTTAGTTAGTTAGCTAGTTAGCTAGTTAGCTAGTTAG